CCTCCAAAATCTGCCTTCCAACCCTATTCAAATAAACCCTTTGATGTGGTTCCCTTTCACACCAGAGCAAAACCAAATCTGTTAAATGCTTTAAACAGATCCAAACCAGAAAAAGCCCCTGAAATTCCTTTCATTCCATACTACCCTCCTCCTCTGATCTCCATTCAGAAATCCATTTTTCCACCTACTCCCCAACCAAAACCAATAACACTGGAAACTCTGTTACATCCCAAGCCTAGACTTAATGTTAATCATTTATTTCAATCCTTTTTGCAAGAAATACAGTTGTATTTAGGTACTGTACAAAAGAAGTGTTCAGCAACAATGGATGCCCAAGAATCTGATGTCATCTGAATGGATTCATCAGCAGATTCAACATTGTAGCATCAAATCTGAAGAACATATGTTCTGATGATGCGAAGCTCAGATTCACTGAATCTGCAAGAAATTTGTTCTAGACCGTCAAGAGATCTGAACCACTGCTCCTCACAGATGCTCCTCCATCATCAGAAGAAACTACTGAACTTGCATCTAAGGACAATCCGTTGGCCATGACTCTGGTAGACCTTCCTTCTGGCTCTAATGCTCCAGAATCTACAGATCCCATGGAAATTGACTCTGTTCAAGCTCCAGAACCTGATCATCCTTCTTCATCTGAGATAAAGAAAGAACATCTAGATTTTGAGGATAAAATTGCTGCTCTGGAAGCTGGTCAATCAGAGATCAAGTCTTGGATGGCAAAACAGGATAAGAAATATGAAGACATGACATATTGGATGTCAAAGCAGGATCAGAAGAATGAAACAATGGCTAAGTGGATGTCAAAGCAAGAGCAGTCCTCCTCTGAGATTACAGATCTGTTGAAGATGCTTTTGTCAAAACACTCTTAGATTTTCATTTTTTTTCATTCTGATGTTTTTGCATATGATGTTTGCTTATGTACTTTTTGATATATCTTCTGATGCATGTACTATTAATCTGAACTCATTGAATGAATCAAAGTTTTCTCCACTAAATTCTCTCATTTATTGTTTCCTTTTATTTGTCTTTTTAAAGTTTTTACTTTTTGCTTATGACAAAAAAAGGGGAGAAAATATAGATCTGAACTGTTTAATTTAACTTCACCAGAATGAAACTTCAGACATATCTATTCTATCTAACATTTAATCTGAGTATTTCAGAACATTTGATAAGTTCACTCTATAAGAGAAACTCTAAGTCTCTCAGATCATTTGACTATTATCAAACTCTGAATCTTAAATCTGCAAGACGTTCTGACTTTCAAATGTTAAAAAAACAATCAAGATCTAACTCTGAAGATTGCTCAAGACAAAAGGGAAGTTTCTATTCCTTATCTGTATTTAACTCAGGGGAAGATTCATCATCTCAGAGGGAGTTATAACTTTAATATTTTCAATTAAACAAAATTTCTGATGTTTTTGTCATCATCAAAAAGGGGGAGATTGTTAGAACACAGATTGGTTCTTAATAATATCTATATGTTTTGATGATAACTATTATGAAATTTTGTATTTAAGAATTATATACTCTAAAATTTGCTTGACAATTTATACTGCAGATAGTAAAGGAATTAACACTCCAGAAGCAAATCAGAATTGAACATAAGAAATTAGCTAGACTCTGAAGCGCCAGATGCACTCATTAGAAGATTTTGATTGCTGCCAACAGAAGATTCTGAGCGTAGCCTCCAGAAGCTTCTGAAGTAGAAGCTCCAGAAGGATCTGAAGCAGAAGCTCCAGAAGAATCTGAAGCAAGTCAGAAGCATCTGAACAAAAGAAGAATTTTGTATGAAGAGTTTTTCAAAGCATAGTTTCTACAGAAGATTCTGAAAGTACTAAAGCTGCCAGTACTGAAGTTCTGTCTCAAATATGCTCTGATCTTAAACACGCTGAAAACACACCTGCTGCAGAAGACTCTGATTCAGTAAAGCTCTGATCATCATCAGAAGACTCTGACCCAATGAGACTCTGATGAATTTGCTGAAAACTGAAGAAGAATTATTCAAAGTTTATATCCGTTGGAGTAAATCAAACGTCTCTTTCCTTATTTATGCTAGACACAAGAACACAGACAAAAAGGATTTTTCTGTGCTTTCTTCTTCTAGGAAAGGTCACTTGATGTGAAGACAAAAAGGCTCAAACCTTTTGGACACTCTTCTCAACGTGAAGCTCACCTTGGATCAGCTGCCTATAAAAGCAAGACTCCACCAAATTCTTCAGTTGACGTTTTGCATTGAAAAGAAATTAATATTCAAGCTCTCATACTTTCATATTCATTCTAAGAATTTATTTCATTGTTCTTAAACTTAAGAGAAATATCACAATTGTGATAATAGCTTTTTAGAAGCATTCTTACTCTTGTAATAGTTTTACATTGATTGTAAAAGGTTTCCTTAAGAGGATCCAGTTGAGATCAGTAGCTCTTGAAAAGACTAAGAACAGTTGTTCTTAGGTGTTACTATTGTAATCTGTTTGATTAAATAGTGGATTAAGTCCTTGATTGAGAAAGGCAAATCACTCTAGGAAGGGTGGACTGGAGTAGTTGAGTTCAACGAACCAGGATAAAAATACTTGAGTTTTAATTCTAAGTTTTAATCTTTCATACTTATTCAACCCCCCCTTCTAAGTATTATCTCACCTTCACATTATTACCGTTATATTTTGATCGTGATTTCTCACCCCTTGCTTTTGTTGTGGTTTGTGCTTCTTCGGAAGTACAGATAATCCAGGTGTGTAGCTAGCTTGGTTTGTGGCGAGTCGTAGGGATGCTCTGATACATAACACCGGGGCTTTGGGGAGTTTTATGTTTATTTGATGATTTTGTGTGCCTCTGTGGCGTATCATGTTTCGATGAATCTTTTTGGTGAACATATCTTGTATATTTTGGGCAGTTGGCCGAGCACGATGTATATGATGTTTATATGTATATATATGATGACAAATTTCCGCTGTGTTATAATTGTTGAAAATCATTTAATGAAAATGTTTTGTGTTGAGTTTATTTCTGTGACATCTCGTTTTGGTATGAATACTCTGATAATTGTTTATTTTAATTGCATTTATGTTATTTTGGGGAACGGGGTGTTACAGCTAGCATATTCGCTAAGCGAGTGAGGTAGCGAACGCTCGCTAGGCGAGCTCATAGCGAGCTGCTAGCGAACACTCCCAGACTTGGACAGAATCAAATTGATCAGCTTCGCTTGGGGCGAGGAAGGCAGCGAAGAACTCGTTAGGCGAGCACCTAGCGAGCAAGTCAGTGAGCGCTTCTAGTAGCAACATTTTAGACCTCGCTAGCATGTTCGCTGGGCGAGCAGGTAGCGAACGCTCGCTAGGCGAGAAAGGTAGCGAGCATGGAAGAACAACACTTTATTTGTCTATAAGTAGCATGGGCTACTTTTGTAAAAATATATCTTTTATCTTTTTTATGCTTTTTCCAACCACTTTGTTTTTGTTTTGCTCCAAGGGAGATATTTGTGACCTAAAAAAACCAATCTTTCATTATTCTTCATCTCTTAACAAGATCTTCCAAAAAGAAGGTGGATTCTCATCCAAACTCGATTCTTCGACTCGGATGTTGATCAACCATCTCCCAAAACTTCTTGTGCAGGCTACCATGAAAATGAGTAGCTAAGTCCTTCATTTTGTCAAGGTTAGATGTAGATGATCACAAGCTTTGTATGTAAATGGGATGATCTTTATTTATAAACTCTTTGATGATGAATATATGGTGAAAACTTTGTTTTATTGTTAACTCTTTGTGTTGGTTTATGATTGAAAGGTATTTTCCAACTCTTTACCTAGGTTTTCATCCATCTATGTTCTTGAGCTAGAGATAGTCTTGAATGTGGTTGTTCACTAAAATATCAAACCCTAAAAGTTGTCATTTTGATAGATTGTGTGAGAAATCAACAATGGATCAAAATGGGAAAATCAAAATGTGTGTTAGAAATAAACACATTGAGAGGATATTGTGAATGTGTTTATCATCTAACAGAGCTTATGAGTTTTGTTGATCGAACATATACATGCAAAGTGATCGTCGAACCCTAACTTTGATAATCTTTCTCAAATCGTAAAACCTAAACTTTGACCGCCTTTATTACTTTTTCTATGCAAGCTACCGTAACGAAAAACCAAAACCCCCTTTGTTACTATAAGTTAAAAACTTGACAACTGTCGAACGGCGGCAATATCTCATATTCCCTGTGGAGACGATAACAAACTTCGATACTCTATCATTATTCCAACAATGTGTCCAAATGCTATCGAACCGAAAACTTTCAAATGACTTAAGCTTGGTTTAAATCCAGACCACACATCATATGGAGTCACCTTATCAAGCTTCTTTGTAGGGCACCTATTCAACAAATATGAGGGTGTAGAAACGGCTTCACCCCATAGTTTCTTCGGTAAGTCTTTACCATTTATCATGCTTCAAACCATGTTCATTATTGAACGATTTTTTCTCTCGGCAATACCATTATGTTGTGGCGTATAAGGTGGCACAATCTCACGCATTATTCCCTCTTCATCACAATACTTCCCGGCCAAATTCATTTGAGGTAGACTAACCTCCACCATCCATTTTTGGAATCTTGATCTTGTGACCACATTGCCACTTAACCATGGACTTGAATCGTTTGAACACATTAAATACCTCATTCTTCCTCTTGATTAGTTATATCCATAATTTCCTACTAAAATCATCGATAAATGTGATAAAATACCTATTGTCACTATACGAATCGATTTGCATTAGACCGCACAAATCGGAATAAACCATCTCAAGGTGATGTTTGGTCCTATTCCATATAATTGATTGGTACTATTAGTGAAGGAATAATGCGTCTATTTTTCACCCATATTATTCTGTGGGTAAGCAATAGCATCTACCTATTCCATCAAGGGAGCAGTGGATACTGCTTTGAACCTTTTAGACTCGCCCATAATCACACCAGCCCTATTTTTTCTGAGATAATCCTAAATACGAGATGAGCCATGAGAGCACACTCTTTTCAAAGTTGAAGGTGAGGGTAGATGGAGACAGCTGTCATCCAATCCTAGTGAAACATTGTTAGCTTGCCGAACATCAGGCATCACCTTATAGTTGTTTGAAATCAAATTCCGGCTAAACTTCATAACTCTAGACTTGGCTGGTACCTGGGTCAAACACAAGAAAATAATCGAAAAGGCCTGGCAAAATTTTCAAAGTAACGATGGGAGATAAAAATTAGCATAATTCCCAATAAATAACAATGCAAATTTGAAGCAATTTACACAAATAAGATAAATTCTACCACTAAGAAATTGCCAAAAAATTAGGAATGCTTGCTAGTTTGACTTTAATACTTGAAATAGAAAAACTTGAGAAGCAACAAAAATTACCGTTGGACTAATGTTCCATTGACCATTTTCCCATGATTGGCACACCATCATGTGAATTTCTTGGACCTTCAGCTCCGTGCAAGATCCGTGCAACGCTACCAAATACAATTCTCCAGTCATGTACTTAAACACAGTAGCTTTTTTCCAGCATCCATCATTCCAAACCTCCACAACATCATTAACTTTCCAACCCTCAATATTTTATAGGCTATTACATAGTTTGTGTTTCACAAAAGTTTATTTAACATTTACAGATTATTTGAGCTTTTCTATAGATATAAGCACACATACCTATAAACTATTTCGGAGGACTACATATTTTTAATACTTTTACACCAAAACGATGATATCAACTATCTACCCGTTACTATTTATTGACACCAATCTACTATTTATATCCTTTCACTAAATTATCATTCACACTACTTAAAGCCCTTTTATGTAATTTACTAAATAATAATTCATCACCCAATTAGAAGAACCCATTTTGCCAAGTGGCAGAAATTTTTTAAAAAACTCTTCTTCCCTCTTTCCCTCACCTTCTCTCCCTTCTCGTACCCTATTTCTCCTCTCTCAAAATTCTCTCTCTTTCTTGTATCCTCTCTCTATCTCTCGTACACCCTTCTTATTCTCAATGTTTCTTCTCAAAATCAGAGTATGTGAAGAAGAAGGATATATGCATGTGGGTTGTGGTGTTTATTTCAAACGAAGAAGAATATGGAGATCTATTTATAGGTTGTGGTTTTGATTTGATTGCTTTCTGTATTTTTTATCCTTTGAACAAAGGGGTTTGATTTTGTTTGGGTAAATAACGATTTTTTTCGTTTTTGTTTTGATTTGGATGGAGATTTTTATTTGATTGTGTGTTATGAGATTTGGTTTTAGTTTATATTTGTGTTTTATTGTGAAAGTTTGGAAATTTTTTAATTTCAGTGTGGTTTTTAGGGTTTTTGATGGTTTTGGTATTTGGTGAAGGTTTGAGTAAGATATGTAGTCCACCTTCGCCCTTGCATCGGTAACGTTCGTTAGGTTTTTTACTCTTTAAATTTAACTTCATATTTCATCATTTTACATATGCTTCAAGGTGTGGTTTCTCTCGCACAGCTCTGTTGGTTTTCATTTTCCCTCCTAAATTGCGGTTTCTTGGTTGTGGTTTCACTCTCACCAACTCATTTTTTGAGAACTCATTCCCTACAAAGGTTAGTTCAAATGTCCTATGTGTTGGTTCTCAACTAAAAATATACTTTTCACTTCATGTTTATCATACTTCCATGGGTTCTGTTGAAATTAATTTTGCAAAGATTGTTTGTTTTAAATACATGGTTTTATGTCCCACCTTACAAAATCATGTTTTTTGATGGTATTTTAATGTCCTTTGTTCTATTATTTGATGTAAAAAATAATGTTTCCAAGTTAAGTTTAATGTTCTTTGTTCTATTATTTGCTTTTAACTATGTTATTTCAAAAACAATGTTATTTTTCTAGCATTTACAGTGAATCTTAAATCAGTTTTACAGAGCATCTATCATGTGACAATAGATGTGTGCAATGGTTATTGTTATCCATTCGTTTTGAGCGTTAAGTTACAGTTTGAGATTGAGAGAGTGGATTTAACAGTTTGAATTTGTTGTCCTTTGAAATTATACAGACACTTGAAATGCTAGAGAAAAAGGAAAATGTGCTTCTTAAAAAGGTCGGGGCAGAAGTTGAAAAAGCCAAAGAATTCACTAAAGGAAAGAACAAAAAGGGTAGGTTCTTAAACTGAATTTTTGTACTTGTTCTTCAGTGTTTTCTTTAATCCTACTTTCCTTATTTTTAATTACGCGCGACTCAAGTTTTCATTTTATATAGCGGCAATTCAATGTTTGAAGAGGAAGAGGCTATATAAACAGCAAATTGAGCAGCTTGGAAATTTACAGCTGCGTTTTCATGACCAGGTGCAAATGCAATCGTATTTGGTATTAGTTCAAACAATGGTTCATGTTATTAATCTTCTTTTGCATCTTTAAAAGGTGATTTGTGTTATAGATGATAATGTTAGAAGGTGCTAAAGCCACCACGGAAACAGTGGATGCGTTACGAACAGGAGCCGCTGCTATGAAGGCTATGCAGAAAGCAACGTACTTACTGCTATTATATGAATCTAAATCTTTAATGAGCCGTTGGTTATGATTTATGACATTACTATGGTCTTGTTTTGATTTGTTTATTTGAACTTATCTACTAGCACAAACATTTGTGAGACTGTTTAGAAGTTGTGAAAACACCTTATGACATGCTTATAGCTGTTTTTCATCTACATCCATAAGTTATTCGATATAGCATACGCAATTATGAATAGCTTATAGCTTATATCTAAGCAAAGCACTTATATGATAAACACATATGCTATAAGTGCTTAATTATTCTGTTCATCCAAACATGACCTAAGTTTGCTCCTGTTTCTTTTTTCAGGAATATTGACGATGTCGACAAAACCATGGATGAGATAAATGAACAGACTGAGAACATGAAGCAGATTCAAGAAGCATTGTCAACTCCAATTGGTGCAGCAGCTGATTTTGATGAGGTAATTCTCTCAAATATTTACTTATTTGTTATGTCAGTTGCAAACATGATATTTGTACCTTTTGATTGTTTATAGTGTTTTACAGTGCTAATGTGTGTCCATGACTGTTGGGATGTCTCGTAGTTTAATCATAAGAGGACGGGTCACTCACAATTCAGGGGTAACCTTGTATAATGGACCGTAGTATTTAAGCACAATTGTAATGTATAAACCCTAGACTTGAATAATATAAAGATACTCCAGCCGCACTACAGTAGGCACAATTGGTTGAACTTCGTGATCAAATCTCGTGTGCTCTTTGTTTGCGTTTTTTCCGTATGTGTTTGCTTTTGAACCGGGGTTGTAATTCTAACAATGAGGTGTTCTGGATTTATTGTCCTTTTCAGGATGAACTGGAAGAAGAACTTGAAGAATTGGAGAGTGCTGAGTTGGAAGAACAACTTCTTCAGCCAGCAACTACAGCTCCGGCTGCCACATCGTACATCCCAGCTGGGCGGCAACCTACACGCCCTGTTCCTGCAAAGCCAACTCCTGAGGAAGATGAATTGGCAGTTTTGCAGGCTGAGATGGCACTTTGATCGGGTACCTTTTCTCGTCTGTGTCACTACTGAGGATTTGTGTTGTTATCTATGCATTAGTTTCTTTCATCTGAACTGGTGTTGCATTTAATATGTGAGTTAAATGATATGATTATGTCACATTTTCAGGTTTTCCATATATATTTTCCCTTTTATGTTTAATGTACTTACGAAATTAAATTCAATACCTTTGATTACTTGAAGGCATTTGCGCGTTTAAGTGTTGTGTATGGTGGAACCTACATGCTAAACAAACCAAAATGCAAGGTAAGTTTGTGATGATACTTTTATTACATTTCTGCATGCTATGAGGAATATATCACATGCTAATAGAGATTGGAAAACTCATATGAATGTTAGTTTTGCTTCCGTACTCTCAAGCTCGCAACCCCAAGCTTTAAGAAATTTCATTTCATACAGCTTTGTTCAATAAGGTTTCTGATATTATCTGGTTTTTTGTGATGCAGTTGGTGATCTTAACCGTTTGTCAGGATACGGTCTGAATTATTATTGTTATTGGGTAAAGGAAGGGCTTTGTTCCCTAATGCACATTGTAAATGGATGAAATCTTGATTTCTTATTGCTATGTTATGGATTGTAGCTCTGCCTTAATATCAGATGTAACTTATTTTGTCATTTGTTTCAGACTCATGGAATACTAAATGCAGTGAGGTGGGGAATCTTGATGCCCTTAGGAGCTATGATTTTAAGTTATTTGAAGGTGTTCAAATCTCCAGACCCTCTTCATGTTACCTGTCAAACAGCTGCTTACATAGTCAGTGTTGCTGGACGGGGTACTGCTCTAAAACTAGACAGTGGCTTGGCCAGTATTACCTACTCAACTCATAGAGCACTTGGAATCATCGTCTTTTGCCTTAGAACCCTTCAAGTACGACCTCATATGTTCTTGACCTATTTCTGAAACAACTAATGTCTTAAATCATGGGTATCACATGCAATAGTTTTAGAACTCTTTTCTAATAAAGTTTCTTAGATGCACTATTGTTACCAAGAGGCACATGGATTCAAGCACCAGAATCTTAGATGTTCAAGGAGTGGTATGCTGCCAATAATTATTTCTCTTTGCATTAGCTGTAAACTGAAGAACTAAATCATTCGAGTCAAAATTATTTTATGATTCATTTTTTGTAATTATATTTTTCTGCTACATCTTATTATAGTACAGGTGGTTGAGGTTGTGAGTGGAGATTGCATCATTGTTGCTGATGATTCTATTTCATATGGGAGATTTCTTGTGGACCTTCTTTTCATATCATTGTTGATTTAAACTATAATTGATTAACTCTATTTTTCAGGTGAATGTACAAATGGAATATTCTATGGATGTTGGTCATATTGATGCAGCTAGAGCTCCATTGAGAGCTGCTGAGGCGTGACTAATGGATTTTGGATCAGTATTCCTGTTATCCTCAAGGAAAGCTGACAATGACCAAGCCCTTTCAGCTGCTGCTCATACAAAGTCAACAAATTGGGTTGAATTTCGACGAATTGATAATTGGTCGTGGCTTTGGAACTGTCATTAGACACCGCGACTTCGAAGAGAGATCTAAATCATGGGTTAAATAACTGAGGTAAGCAACACATTGCGATTTTGGTCTTATTTTCTACATCATGTATTACTGGTACAAGAAACAAATGAATTTACCCGGGTCAGAGATGGGAGGATTCCTACTGTTGTTGTTGATCCACATCCTAAAGGTCTAGACCGGGTGAGGCTGGTTACTAAGACTTTCAGCTATACTGTTCTATATGTTTATCATTATTTTTGTTCTATATGTTTATCATTATTTTTGTATTGTTTCTAGCATATTGAATAAATAGTATTGTATTTGCTGCTAAAACTATGACCTGCTTTGATTAGCCTATAGTATTGTGAAACTAATGTTTTGATTAACCTGATCACATATTGAAATTGAATAACCAAGTTTGTCCTGATGCTGTTAAAGGAGTTC